CGCATACAGAGAGAGAGGGGGGCAAGCGACGGAGCGGTCTTTTTTTACGGTCTAAGTTTTACGGTTAGTTAATTTACTTATTTTGTAATGTGTAGGTATGTTTTATGTTAAAACTGAGATAAAAAATATCTATACAAGTAGTTATGTCTCCTTGTTTTAGTTTATCCTCCTGTTATTGACATGGATGCATGCGCATATATTAGAATGGTTCGAATATATGTGTTTTTTTAGAGCGAATATTCGAACGACATTTTGGAGCAATTTTGACAGCCGTCTGTGATGTATAATATTTACCTTTCTTACACACACACATATATATATAATTCTGTTAACATTTATAGATCTCTGAATTTAATAATCCTGCAGTTATGGATGGATAAAATACGTAGAGGTGATAAAACACGTTCCCTCACATTCTGACAGTGTGATTCATGACTATAAACCCACCTCAACAGACATCCCATGTGAACCATTCCTATACAAATTCTGTTTAAATAATTTGGTTGTCGTGATCAAGTAGTCCAGTTACAGTGTTTTCTGCTCCTCTCTGTGACTGCCATTCATGCTGCACACAGCCAACCACGCCAAGTGCGCACTTCCATCTCCTCCAGGTCTCCATACATGCCTACGTTTACAAATTCGTTTTTTCCCAGTTGGAGTTTACACGTGTCTGATGAGACTTTTGTTTGTGTGAGTGCGTGTGTCTGTGTTTTTTCTTTTTTAAGAAAAGTATTGATCATTATGCGGCGATCAGTGTTGATAATGAGGCGGTCATTTCAAACAAATCGACATTGTAACGGTAGCAGGTCAGACACGTCAGCTGAGGCGGTGTATCTCTCTGTGTGTATATATGCGTGTCTCTGTGTGCGTCTGCCAGTCAGCGCAAGGGAGAGAGAGAGAGAAAGAAAGAGAGAAGCTTGTGCGTGTGCATACACATACAAAGGTGCGCAATTGGATATAGTATTCACTTGAAGATACGATTTTGTACACTTGCTGCTTTGATCAACATAAAGAACACTGAGACTCATCCTACCCACATCAATCCTGACTTCACCAGAAAAAGGAGCTTGACTGGCTAAAGACAATGAGCCATTTAAAGACAATTATTTCATTTAAACAACAGACTCTGCCCCAAGTTCAAATGAGTCACTACAACATCAAGACATCTTAATAAACCAACTTGTGCTACGTATGGACAGGGGGAAGCAAGGGGAGTTGAGGGACCCTGAAGGGTGACAGATGGCTTCAATAGAAGGACAGGGGGCACGTGTTTACCCTCCGCCACAACAATTAATAGGAACCTCCCAAAAACACAATCCCTGAATACATAAAAACATCACAGGCCCTGAAGGCATGCAGTATCTCTACCGCACACATAAATACACCAAGCACAAACCCTCTAAAATGTGCTATATTACACTCCAAAATGGGGCACGCATCTCAAACCAGGCTCTACTGCAAAAGGCAAAGGCCAAAGGTCAGGGCCAAGGGGTGCTGCTCACAAAGCTCCAGGCATGACACTCATCAAAGAGTAAATGCCAACTCTTTATCTGCAGTAATTTATGGCTGATGGTAGTGTTGCCCAGTGCTGTCCCATGGGGTCTGTTAAGTCCCAACTGCTTCTGGCAAAATCTATAGATGAGGCGGGGCGAGTTAAATGATTGATCACTGCAGACATGTGGTGCCTTTGCCATGTGGGACAGGCGTTGTAATTCATTGTTGATGTGACTTTTTGTTGAAAGGCTGTCCAGTGAATTATCTGTCTTCCAAACTAGGCAGAATTTAATTCAAATAACAACGCATGCTATTTGAAATATATGATACCGAATTTAACTACAAAAGTATTGCTTAATCTAGTCATATAAATATCACAGTATATAGCCGTTTTCCAACATGACCTTGGGGTAAAATCTGGAGAATCGGCTACGGCGTTTACTCAGACTTTGCTTTTCACATATGCACAACACAGTGGAAGATTTTCTTCGTTAACAACAGCAACAAATCCTCCGCATTATTCAGGCGTGAGGTTGAGCAGCCTGGGTGCAACAGACGGAGACAGGAAGTGACATATTACCTCCGCTGCGGGGATCACATGGTTTTGTTTACAGCACCCCGACACTGTCGTCAGCTCTAATTACCACAAAGCCTCTCGAAATCTTCATCAGTGTCTTCTTCATGTGTAACGCCACTTTTTCACCCGGAGATATTTGTTTTCTTTTTGTGTCTGTCGCGTGCTAGAAGCACCATCACCCCGAGGTGAATCCAGTGGTAAATCCCCTTCGCACATCGACATCTCCTGGATTTCTACTGACTTTTACCAGGAGGTCAGGTGGATTAAGTGTCTCACTCTGACATTTGCGTTCATGCACCTTCTCCAGAGAAAATATGAAGGAACGTTCCAGTGCATGTCTGAAAGCAGCTTATGATTCCAAAACATACATAATTGGAATGAATACAACTATTTCCCTGAAAAAAATATGTTTGAATAATGTTGACTTTTTAGAGCTAAAAACTTAAAGAAATGCCAAACTCTTGCTGATATTACATCACAGACCCTGACTCAGGTAATTGGGACTCCAGTTGGACTAACACAAATACTGGAGACTGAAGGCCAATTAACACTTCTGTGTTGAAGCAGCACAGTAGGTACGCACGTAGCCTCTGCACGGGACCAAGCATTTATAGTTGTGCATAGGTGTGTGTGAGCCACGCTGCAATTACACTGCCGAAACGCTTTTGGCGGTACAGTTTTTATGCTGTTGTTGAATATCTTCCGTGTAGGCTACGTCGTAGCTTCAACACAGAAGCCTGAATTGGGCTTTAAGACTTGGACTTAGTCTGGGTTGTGTCTTAACTCTACAATAGCAGACTGAGTAAGTACTCAAAAACTGCTTCAAGTTCATTTTAATATCAAAAACGTCAACTGGTGCAGAGGTAACAGTGTTGTATGATGAAATTCTCCGGTCTAAATTTAATAAGCAAAAGATCCCACCCACCCGTCTAAAGTATGTGTGCTAAATGAGTCCCAACACAGTCTAGTATACACAGTTTAGCATACAGGAGTTGGCTGCTGATAAAGATTTTGCTGTCGCAGTGAAAATAAATTCCGAACAACCTCTTTAACTCAGAAATAAATCAGAGAATCATCTGTCAGGCCGCCAAGAAATACATATCACAGAACAACATATCATTACATCAGAAAAATACGTCTGAAGATAGGTTTTAAAAAAGGTTAGAGATCTTTTTCCCCAAAAACCACCCGCATCAAGAGAGAGAAAGTATGACTGCATACTGGGTTGTGCTCCTATAGGGTTTGTCTTAAAATCAGACATGCATGTGTCTAGAAATACACACGTCTCTTGAGAACCTTCAGCAGGTGAAATATCTACTGTACAATAAAAAGCAGTGACATCCACTTGGGTGTGTGGCTTCACATCCTTTACCTAGAGTTGCTGTGCCCATGGAAATGTTTGAGTTAATAAATGTTTATACACTTGGTACCTGAATAAAGCACCAGTATCAAACACTGTTAGCAGCCATTTTCCCCTCTTGCTGGCAACTAAGATCTAATCAACAAACTAGACAGACTTAAGCACTGAATACATAAATACAACGTAACCCCTTGTCTAAGTAATGAATCCACTTAAGCAAGAGCAGCCTAGAACTTTGATTATCTATATTAGATGCAGATGTCAGATGCACAGTACGTAATGAACTGAAGTGGCATTTGATTTTTAGTAGGGTTGTGATTTTTTTAGCCAGTTGTGCATTGTTTGGGAATGGCAGACGATCAGGTCTAAGACATCACCATGTCTCTAACGTGTCATCGTTACCTGCAGTAATGCATGTGCCAGATAAACATAAAGCACACCACAGTCTTACCATGCATCTGAGCTGGACGAGTGTCTCTTACACACCAACTTCCAACTCAGTGTTGACAAAATGAGAAACACCTTTTAAAAATAAATACATAAACAGTATGGAGCAAGAAATCCAACTTCTACTGAGGCAATAATCCTCCTTTTTGCCGAGGCTTAACTCATTGATCTCTTCTGAGGTGGTACTTTATACTACTGTCGTTTGGTTGGTTTGGTTAAACTGCATAGCGTGTTAATAAATGGGACTATAATTTGTTGCAGGACCTGCATTACTCAATAAACTGGCATCTGAATGTACAGGGTAGATCCTTGCAATTGCATGCTCCACAGAGGCAATCCACAACAATGCAGCAAATGCAGTGAAACGACACTAACTACTACAGCTCAGCACACTTAGCTGACCTGCTAACTTTACACTGTGCAGCGAGGGTGGCCCTGTGAATTCAAGAAGTGGAGATCACCCCGGAGTGTTGTGTGTGTTTGCATGAGCAGACAGTGGCGAGGCCTTTACCTTGTCCATCAGACGCTGACAGGGCAGGTGAATTCAGCTTCGGCCGCTTGGAGTTGGGAGGTCCGACGTCCAGCAGGTTTTCAGCCATAGTCGCTCTCTTGTCCGGCCGCAGGTTTGAAGCTGTTATAGTTGTGTTTACCGTGTGACAGGGAAGTTGTTCTATCGACACGAACCTCCCCGGTTAGCGCATTAGCAAGCTGGCAGCCTGCTAACGTTAACTAACTGGCCAGTAGCTAGCTAATTGCCTGCTACCAGCTAAGTTAACTGTTAGCGTTAGCTACTCCTCGCTGCGAGAGTCCGTGTCTTTCAAAAGAGATGCAATAGCGCCCCGCTTCGCCACCGCCATTCACCCCATGATAATCCAACACCCAACACCCACATTATCATCGTTAAATACCGCAGAATAAAATATCCCCCATGTAAAGAGCCGACTTCACAGTGACGATGCGATAACATCTGGTGGATTTCAGCGCTCCGGGGGGAAAGTCGCAATTTCTAGAGGTTCAAAGTGCCCATTTTGCGTGACGTCAAATTTCTTCGTGCAAAAATCGCGCGAAGCTCCGCAGAAATGCGCGATTGCATAAAAATGTCGTATTTTTGCAAACCACCTCGAAAGTCACGACCTGCTCTCCGCTTGTCCTGGTAAACAATGCTGCTCCCGGACGGCGACAGGGGCTGAATCGCCGCACTCTGAAGGGGAAATCACATTCACGGAGCTTTTCTGCCCGACGACCACCGATCCAGTTTCCGTTTTTTCTCTCAAAATGTCTCCGAGGCGACGTTAAGATTCCGTTTTCCGGGGAAGGACGCTCTCATGGCGCAGAAAGGACGCTCGATTTCTAGGTAAAAACCAGTGTTGGACAGAAATCCTAATTCCGAGCCTCGACAAGATGGCGGCTGTTGATTCCTTCGGTACAAAAAAGTTTTTTTTTCTTTTCCAGATCGGCGGTGGAGGGGGAGGGGCCGCGCAATCACGCCCTACGTGAGAACACTGCCGCGGTGAGCCGCTGGGGGCGCTACAGCACCGCCATAGATCTGACCTAATACGTTTCCACAAATGAATGACTCCATGAACTTTACTGTTTAAATACACGAGTAACTCGTTTAAAAAATGTATATTAACAATTACACACTTTGCTTTAAGTGTTTAAAAATGCATGTAACCCGTGGATTCACTTTGCACTGGACTTAATGTAGTAAATAGAATAATTCTTGTTAAATTAGTTATAACATTAAATTATATCAAATTCAATACAGTTGTGGCAAGTGCATAATGGTAGAAGAGACTTGTTTTTAATTTAAAAAATAAAAAAGTTAGCTTAAACTGACATCCTTGATTTATTAAGCTTGAAGTAAATGATAAAAGTATTATTAGTAATAGTAGTTGTATTATTTACTGTATCACAGGTGCAGCAGTATATTAGGCCATGTCACTCCTCCCTGCAGATGAGTACAGCTACAACAAAATGCACAAAAGTCAGGTTTCCATTTTTTATCACATTTTACTGATCTGTTTTTTTTTTTAAATGTCTACGCTCATCTTTCTTCTACTCTGCTGCAAGAAGTGAATGACTACAGATGTCTTAAAACAAATAACCTTCTTATTTAGAGTCCAGCACACTATCTACACACTATCTAGGCCATATTTCGGTCATTCGCTGGTCGATCAAAACCATCCACCCCTCCTGACATTTCCTGGAAATACATTCCGATTATCTGCCTTTGTCATAAACCCATCCTCACTTTAAACTTCACTATGAACTCAAAGACTGTCTGCTTTAATTTTTTCCCTCTTACTGGAAAATGGAGTAATATAATAATTACACTCACACTTACTCAATAAGACACACATTGGATCAGTTTGATAATATGTGTCTCTTTTCATTGTTTTCTGGCAAAATCTGACACATGCACATGTATAAAAAAAATCATATGTGACATAAAATAACTGCATATGTACAAACACAGTGCTTTGTGCAAATGTGTACAGATTACGATCATGTGTTGATAAATGATACATGGGTAATGTGCACAAAACATACATAATACATCTCATTCATAAACATAAAGCAAATAAACAAAGATTTCAAATCAAATAACTCTCATCTATTTTTTTGTCCCAGTTTAATTAAAAACACATACGGATTGAATTTACGAAAACATTTTACACTGAAAAGAGTTTAAGCTGTCACTATTTAAATGAGTGATGAGGCAACTCTATTTTTTGCCGTGATGCCTTTAGTGCTGATTAAACATTCCTTTATGCTTCTCTCTTGTATTTCTGCCACAGGGCAGAATCGCATTTCTTCAACAAAACGGGATGAATTAACTTCTCCTCAATGCACTCAGCTGTTTAATTGATTGCATTTTTTTCCCAAACGCAGCACTGGATGTCTGGGGCCACTACTTTCCCTCTGCCCAAAGTAAAAGAAACCTTGTAACACACGCACACACACACACACACACACAGTCAAAAGGGAGGACATCCAAACAACCCGAAATGAGTGAATTGAGGAATCCCGTGTGTAATGTTCAACATAAGTGAGGACAAAATGAAATGAAATTAAAGGATGAGAGTATGGTACAGAATCAAGCTAAAATGTAGTGTGTCGAGCAAAGAAGAAAATTGTCCATTGGGTAAGAAACCTTCCTTCACAAATAATACTTGGGATGCTCATTTGTTTCCTTTACTTCGTGTGTTGTGACAATATGAATTACAATAGCGGAGCGAAAGATGTGATTTTTGGAAAAGCAATGAAAAAGATTTTGCAGAGCAGATCTCATGTAGCTATTTTTGTGTCATTCTGGGGACATTTCCAATAGAGAAACGTCTTTGGATTTTTATACTACTCGGGTTATCATGATCATTTGATACAAATAATCACAGCTGACATATTCATAATTCAAAAGGCACTGGTTGTGTATGTTTGGAGTGCGCAGTGGCAGAGGAACACAAGAATGCTGTTAATGCTTGTGGGTGGCTATATAAATAGATATTTCAATTCTGTCTTTGTTTCTATGTGTGTGGCCATCGCTTCAAAAGGGAGATTCTTAAGCCTAAATGTTGACCTGCTGCTAAAAAGATATGGTGGTGCGTGTTTATGCAAATCATAAACTAGTCATTATGCAAAGTTTAGGATTTGTCTCTTCTCCCTTTCAAAGAATGCAACTTTGTGCATCCTTTACAGATAAGGCAGTGTCAGCAAAATCATAATTAAACAAAGGCCATACAGTTGATATGATATTGATTATTTTTCTTTTGAATCACTCACATCAACAGTGATCTCTCATGGGTGATTTACTTTGAATTGGAATAAAACTTAAATATCTTTCTCACACACACACACAGACACACGCTAAGGGGAAAGAAGTGTTTTCAGGAGTAAGGACAAAGCATGAAGTGAGTAAAAGAGCAAAGAGAGCTTCAGATGTGCCAGGTATTCGATGGGAACACCACCATATTATTCCAGGCAGCCAGTTAATGACAGAATGAAGGAACTGGAAAAGAGCAAAGAGAAAAAAAAAAGATGGAATTGTCCAAACAAATGCAGCAAAACCTGCACAACAAGCATACTTTCATCAAACATACAATCATAATCTACTCTCATTATGAAAACAGCATGATAAAAAAACTTTCTGAAAACCAAAGTAACCAAAAAATACAGTCATAGTTTTAGGCACCACAAAACAATCAGCTAGTTTAGGTTGCACTGCACCTATAGATCACTCAATTAAAGTGGCAAAATTTAAGTATATTGTTACAGTAGAGGCTCCAGTAAATGAAGGGGCCATAACAGGGTCAAAGTGAAAAGTCCCACCCCTTCAACGACAAATCACTAAAGGCAGACAATACTGAACTACTGAATAAATCTACTGGACGGAAAGATGTTGATTTCTTTTTATTCAGCAATGAAGGCAAAAATGTCCCTTAATTTGAATCTGAGGTTTTACAGAAGACACAGAGATCATAGCTGATCTGTGCTATGATACTGCAACCCAGAGCAACATGGACCACCCTATCATTTATCGAGAACTACACAGTGATTGTCCCTCACAGTCTCACTTCCAGTGCCTACTCCACCCTAAACGTATTCTATGTATCAAACTCTCACCCCACTGTGGATTTAAAGTTTAAGTCTGTTCACATCCTCTTCTTATCCAGACAGAGCCTGATATATTTCATTTCTCTGAGGTGCATTGTTGTCCACTGTTAGTGCTGGGAGACTTACTCCCTTGTTGAACTAATAAGGGGTCAGTTGTTATTTTAAGTTAATCCCACATGCACTGTCCTGCTGCCATAAATACAAACTACCACAGCAAATCCACCACTGAAAATAGTCCCCCAACAAATACACAATTTACTGCCTTGATGGCCTATGAGTTAAGGTGCTGCTGACCATAAACCACAGCATCCTGCAGTTCATGTATGTCTGGGCACCTTTGTTGCATGTCGTTCCTGCCATCACGCCCCAAAATACTAAAAAGATTGGGCTGAGAGCCGTGAGGGAGGAGAGGAGAGTCAGGAAGTGTTGAGAGATGCAGTAACTTTGTTGGTTTTGGTCTTTTCATCTTGTCATTTTACATTTTTTAGCAACAACAAAAATATAAAATTTCTGTAAGCCTTATCCGTGGGTGTAAAAAAGTTTTAGTTAGTTTTTTTTCATACAGCATCCAACTGTGAGGCTCAGCTCCTTTAAAGTTGTTCTGACCCAGTTAAAAAGCAGACCGACACTGGAGCAGAGTATTTTGCTGTACTTTTATGGAAATACATGTCGGACAGCAGACAAAGTGGATTATTACGACAGAGTATTGCGACAATTTAAAGGTGGGGGAAATTGGAGAATTTAAGAATTAAGTAGTAGTTTAGGCTACATGTAATGTTAAAGGGGGAAAAACAGAAGCTCAACTCATGTTAAAATGAGGAACGTGGCACATCAAGTCATATTTCAGTATAAATTTTACAAATAATGAAACACTTCCCTTTTTTCACATCAGCACCAAGTCATCAGGACTGTGAACAGATTGTCTAGGAAAGTGTGTATATTCCAAAGGAAAAAAATCACACAGACTTGGGGTACGTTGCTTCTTTTGTGGAGGAGAAAATGTTTGGTAACGTTGGTTACATCACAAAATGGTTTTATTTATATCTCGAATTACAACTTTACTCATGCAATATTACGACTTTATTTTCATTATTTTGTGACTTTGTTTACGTAATATTACAAAATATTTCTCGAAATCTCCGATTTCATTTTTTTCATTTTTCATCAATATGACCCTGATATTGCATCTTTGATTATCGTGCAGGATTGGTTTGATACGTTTCTGCAAAATCAAATTTAACCAGCATCAACTGAAGTTGATCACAATTGCAATCTGTGTTTTTTTAGACTAACATACATTTGTACAGCCGCCTCTTTGGTCTACGTGGGGTGAGAGTCTGTTACTCAAATGTGGAGTATCACTTAAAGTATATTTAAAGTGCCTTCCTGCTTTTGTAATGATCCCACTTTTTAAAGATCACCTTTTCTTTCAAATCTGTATTCCCTTATCTGATTCTGATTTTGTGCTTTTGATTGTACTTGTTGTGAAAGACAAAAACTCTTGTTCAAAAATCTTAAAAGCCTTCTCCCGGTAATAACTACCAAATACAAGTGGTCGAGAAAAAACTGTGCAAGACCTGTGCTTAAAATGTGCATTTAGCTGCTACACAAACTAAAATCTATGCAGCCTGCTTTGTAGCATTTGAGTCTAGGACAAATGAATAATGTTTTAAGCTCTCATGTCAAGAACACATAAATTAACACTGCTTCACGTGAGTCCCTCATTCTTCCCTTAGTTTTCCTGCTCAGCTCATCACACTGCACTGGCACTAATAAAGAATCTCTTTTTCCCTTAAGTATAAGGTCAAGGCTTTGATCAAGTTAGAACAAATGATATGGCACAAGAATAATGAGTCTTTTAAGAAATACTTGCATTGAAAATAAGAGCATGGAGTAAGAAACCACAGCATGATCCGTAGTCTAAGATTGTTAAAACTTTGTTCAGCATTCATATTTGTTTGTTCACTTTCTAGTCCTGAAGGCACTTGATAACAAAAAAAACAAATAAGAAAAAACATCAACAACTCCAAAAAAAACTTCTTTTCCCTCTTAATCCTTTTCAGCCTTTTCTATTTAATTAACTGCTGTGCTCAACACAGGTCTAGCCCACCCCAGCACTCCTGTGAAAGATGTTAGTGGCCACGTTAATCGCTACTGTGGCTACTGTGACCACTGTTGGTGTTGGCATGATAAACTCCCTCTACTTCAACCATGCTGAAGACACTTGTCTAATGGGAGGGACATCCTGCCCCACACCTGCAATCAGTCCCTGGGACGCAGATCGGGGACAGGAGGTCGGGGGGAGGGGAGAGGAAGGAATCACAGACGAGCATAAAACTCCTCGTTGAGTTTTGTCAGCTCATTGGCCTCCTCCTCTTCGTCCTCCTCCTCTTGAAGTGCAAGAGGAGCAGGCTGCACCTGGGAGGGTATTTGTGCAGCACTAGGTTCTGGGCCTAGTTCAGAGCGGGGAGGGGGGTGAACGTCTGTGGCAGTGGGCTGCCCGTGGTGGTGTGGAGCGTCCCTATATCCTTCCTCCCTCATCTTTGCAGACTGAGCTGGGACAGGCTCAGGCCCTGCTCCTGAAGGCCTTACAGCACTTTGGGGCTGAGTAGGGACGGGAGGAGGAGGAGCAGCTGCCTGAGCAACAGATCCTGAAGTCTTATTGGCCGGTAATGCCATGGACGAGGCTCCTCCGATGGCCTGCTCCATGCAATCTTGACATATACTTTCCCCACTTTTGGGGTATAAAAAGGTCCTCATTTGACCTTTGCCCTTAACATTCACAGTACCTCGATAGTCAAACTCTAACCCCATGGCGCTAAGCATAGCGTGGCTCTCCTCGCTCACCTGCACCCGACACTCCACACCGGTGGAGTCCATGCGGCTAGCGATATTGACCGTGTCTCCCCAGATATCATAGAGCAGCTTAGTGGTGCCGATCACCCCCGCTGTCAGCGGCCCGTGGTTAAATCCAATACGGAGCTTGAAACCAAAACCGAGCATGTTCTTGTTGAAGTCGTCTAGGACGCCCATCATCTCCAGGGCGAAGTTGAAAAGAGCCCTCAGGTGTGCGTGCGGAGAGTCATCTTCGTTCTCAGCCAACTGCTGGACGTTCAGTCCCGACGCCGCCATGTAGGTGGCGCCGATTGTCTTGATTTTTTCCACGCTTTTGAACTCAGGTCTGCGAAGGAGCTCATCAAAGTCTCCAATGAGCTCATTGAGGACACGGTAGCACTCTTTCCCACCCTCATAGCTCTCCTCATAGAACTCGCTGAAGTTCACAATACTGGCGAAGATCACGCCCACACTGTTGTGGTTCTTGGAGTAGCTCTGGGTCACCTGAGGAAACAGAGACAATAACATTAGGAGAGAAAATAAAGGCAATATTTTTGTGTCTTTTATCAATTTTCTCCTTCATTCAATAAAAAAAAATACTAAGAAGACAATACTTTTGTCTCTGAAAAAGTTCTGGATTATTAAACAAGGGGAAAGTCTGTCAAACAACAACAAAAACCTTGAGCTGGTCAGCGACATGGATGGGGATGATGTTGCCCAGTAGCCACTCGGCCTGGTCGCGCATCATCTGGATCTTGGAGCGATGTTTGTCAGCCTCCACGTTGCCATGGTAATGGAGACGGTAGCTGACCTCAAACTCTCGGTTGAGGAACCAGACCAGTAGAAGAAGCAGGAAGAAAGCCAGGACGGCCTCAGGGACCAAAAGGTCGAGAGGTCGTGTGGGAGGGTCTGATTCTGAGCCACCATCACTCAATGTGGAGATGTTTAGACTGAGAGAGGAAACAGGGAGAGAAGTGATCAGAGAAATGTGGGAATAAAGCATTATGATGAACGTTACTAGGAGGTGACAGCAGAAGGAAACAAAGGAGATACAGATATTTCCAGAGCAGAGTTTATTGTGAGATGATGTGTGCTAAATCTGGGTGATACGTCATTATCGTGGAAAATCTCTGGTCCAGCCAAAATTAATGTGATGGCCAGAGTCAGTCCCTCATGTTTCTAGACCAATGTTGAAATTCATTGTGGAGCAGGGAAAGATACATGTTTGGTCCACTGGCCTCAATAAACCACACTCAGTGTTCAAAACTTGTTTGCACGTCCGTATATCCACCTTTTTATTTTTTAACCTTTCTTTTATAATTTAAAGATATTCAATGTTAGGACAGATTCTTAGCGTGAAAGGGAGAGAGAGACAGGGGAAGACATGCGGCAAAGTACCACAGCAGAAGCCTCGAGCCTCAGTACATGTCCACCTCTGAGTTAATTAAGGGGTTATTAATTCCACTTCAATTTATATTTTTTAATTTCTAGTTTGGTGTCAAGACATTTGGGGAAATGTGAGGAATCCATAAGTGGAAGTAGATAAGGGCTAAAATTATTATATTCATAGATAGACAGACAGACGAACGGATAGCACATTTTTTTAAAAATTCATTAAGCTAATACCCTCAGTGTAAGAGTGTATGAGACCGAATTTCATCCGACTGCAAAGTTGACTTAAACTTGGCTCACTGCATCATAAAGCTCAATCAATAGAACCAATTCAGATAAACTTGCTGTAAGGCATTTTCACCACTATTGACATTTAGCAGCCATTACTGCTGGAGCACAAAGAGCAATGAAGGACTGAAGAGAACAGGGGAGAGGAGAAGCAGGAGAAAGAGTAAAAGCCAGAGAGAGCTGTAGTGATGAAAAATATAAAAAAGAGACGTGTCATTGTGACCCCTCAAATGTCACTCATCCATCAAATCTCTCTGTTTCCACAGCGACACTCACCCATGAACTGGCAAGCTGTTATTACCGGAGCTGAAAAAGACAAGAGCGGTGTGAGGAGGGAGGGAGGAAGAGAGGAAGAGAGGAAGAGAGGAAGAGAGAGAGAGAGAGAGAGAGAGAGAGAGAGAGAGAGAGAGTTATAAACACACAGAAATAACACACACATGAACCCACATATAATACAGATCCTGAATTCAATTCAAAATAAAATCCTCTTTACTGGCACAACAGGTTGATGTTATGTTATGATATCAAATAGGCATATATAGACACACACAAACACACAATTCATAGTATTTTAAGTATTTAAACTGTACATACTGTGGATAGTATCACAAGTGTGGATGTATACACACACACACACACACACACACACACACACACACACACACACACACACACACACACACACACACACACACACACACACTTGTTAGCTCCTGATGCGAATCTCTCTGGGTCATGTTTATTTGCATTTGATATTTGTGTGGATCATAGACTGTATATAAAGATGGATGAAACGTCTCCACTTCATGAAGCCAAGAATCCCATTTACTAATTCTGCCATCTTGTGCAATTGGAGCCAGAGACTGTGCAGTAGTGATCGAGGGATGGAGCCGGGGCATTGAGGTCCTGTGATACATGCACTCAATCAATCGTGAGTCAGTCTCAGCTCTCGACATATGAACAAACATCAGTGTGATAACAATTACAGCAGATGGCATATTAATATGTGCTTAGACTTTTAAATTTGATCCATATCCTGTCCACTAACAGGGAGGAAGCAGGATATATGACCTATACTGCAGCCAGACACCAGGTGGTGATCGAGATGTTTTGGCTTCACTTTGGAGCTGGCATGTCATCCATCTTTGTATACTGTCTATTTGTGTGTATGTGTAAATAACAGGTGGTTGCTCATCTGTACCTGTGTATAGGGCTGTACAGCAGCAGCAGCAGAGCGACCCCCGTGACAGTGGCCAGGACCGAGCGCATCCAGAAACTGAGCTGACAGAAGTTACAGTACTGGATGATGGCCAGGATGGTGGCACAGCACAGGAACATGGTCACCTGAGGAAAAAACACCTAGCTGTTAAAGTAGCTTAAGAAAGAAACAAAGGAAACAACGAACAGGATTCTCCACAGCTTTATTCAGTGTGGATTACCACTGTTTAGTTACCAAAATATAACTATATTAATTAAAAAACATATATAAACATCTACATGTATCTTTACGTTTAAGACTGTGGAATCTGCTGTAAAATGGCCTTAATAATTAACAACAAGTTATATAGTTATATACTAATGTTGGCACATGGCTGAAACAGCTTATATTACCATGCAGTCTCAAGTACATCAAACTTCTTCTTTTTTGCCACTGCAAACCACGACTTCTGCCCTGGATACTTTTCTGCTCATAACAATTGTATTTGTAAAATACCTTTTGTCACTAAATAACATATATTGAAAAAGCTTTCAAGCAATTTGACCTATTCAGATAAAATTTCTTGCTTTAATAATTCATCAGAGATAAGAGGACCAGTTAGATATATATATAGAGATAGTAAGATGAATATATCGAGCTGTGAAACCCACCAGATTCAAGATTCAAGAACTTGATTGTTATTGTGTGGGCACAACGAAATTTAAAAAAGTGTCATCCTAAAATCAAGTTGTACCTTTATTGATTTACAAAGGAAGATCTACAAATAAATATACCACTATATTATTAAAAAATCAAAAAAGATGCAAAAGAAGTGTAAAAGTACAAGCACAAGTAATAAGTATGCTGGTAAATATGGTTAGTTCAGAATAGGAATACTACTTTTGCACCATTTTTCAATAGGGATCAAAAATCTAAATATAATGTTCAGTCTAAACCAACTGTGAAATCCTGAGCAAAAATACTCTTCATTAATCAACTGCAGGGAAAAGATCCTTCAACAACAATGAAGAGGATTTGATGAGAAACATGCATATGCATGGGTTGAGTCACACAAACACACATGGAGACAGCAGCAGTAACCTCACAGGTTGTTGAAGAAAACAGAGCAGAAATGTATTTTCTCCCCCTCATCCCGACTCATGTACTGGATCCCTCCCCGTCACACCTCTCTCTCTCCCCCTCAAGCACCGTTATCAGGTCTTAACATCTTCAAAAGAATGAATGTCCAGAAAAGTGCAAGATCTAATTAACAACTTTCCCTGAGAGTAACGCTTTGATCTGTGAGCCCCGGAGAGACGGAGAGACAGGAAGATTGAGACAGAGCACGGAGGGAGAGTCAACTGACAGAAAAATGGGGTGATAAAACAAAAAATCCTTGAAAAACAAGATATCAAAACACCACACATATTGCGAGCAGCCGTTGGCTCAAAAGCTGGAAGGCCAGAGTCAGACTTGCACAGAGTTATGGCCTTGACTCGAAACAGAACAAAAACGCTGCACAGAATGGCTGCTCTCAATCTTCTCAAATGCAGGACTCAGAGAAGGAGAAATGTCAACATCTCCGGTGCCAAAGTCCACAGCCGAAGCCTCCTGAAGCCTCCGAGCTATTTTCCTTCGACAGTTCCTATCAGTGTTAATGCCAGCTTATGGCTCGGCGGCTCTCCGAGGATCTCTGGCTTCAGACATCTGTGGGCGAGCTTTCAAAATGCCAGACCCCTCTCTGCTTACTTTAGCTTAGGGATATCAGTGAAGACTATCTATTATAGCTCGGAAATCACAAATAGTACCACAAACATGATTCGCAGTCACAGCACAGTGGTACGGAGAGTGGGAGCAGTGGTTTGATCACTTGCAAGGCTAATGGTGATGGACTTTGTAGTTCTGGGAGCAGCAGGAGGAAGCAGTGACATTTGCTGCTTTCAGACATTCACTGAAAGACAGAGATCCTCAAGTATAAAGTCCACAGAAGGTCTGGAGGAGCCGATGTGAGAAAAGAGCGGGAGACGTTTCTAACACAACAAAAGATGCAAATATTTAAAAAAAACAATAAAAATATCTCAGGGTGAAAAAGCTGCGCCATACCGTAGAAAACAATGAAGATGTAAACAGAGCCAACACCAGTGTTAACCTGCTGTACACAAAACATTTGATCTTTGCCGCCGAATTAATACGTTACATCCTGCCTCTGCCTGCTGTACCACCCCTCACCGAGCACTCCAGAGATTCCTGAGCTGTTGTTAATGTGTCCGAGTGGAGAACGTCCTGCTGCGTTGTGCATCTGTGAAAGCCAAAATATGTAAAATGTCTGGACCCAATTCTAAGGATATCGTGAGGTCATGTCTGAAAACTACTCTATGTACTGGTACAGCAGCAGTGCAAGAGTAGTACCTTTTAGTGTCTAAAGTTTAAAATATGTCTTAAGATTTTTGTAGAAAAAAACGATTCAATATTTTTGTTTTAAGATGAAAGGCCGGCAAATACTGAGCTGCAACCGGAAAGTGTTTGATATTTTCTGGACAGATGAGATCTGGAGTTTTCCTCTGCTGAAGTTGTGCTTTATGTTGACACATTACCTCATTTAGATATTCAGGTAATGGGGCTCCCATTATCTCACCTGGTAGTGTGGGCGCCCCGTTACCTAAGATTCTTATTGAGCTGCAGAAACTCTTCAAAGTTTGAGTTCCCCTGCAGCGGGTCAGTTCCAACCCGGCCCTGTGCTGCATGTCTTTATAACTGGTTTACAGATAAATGTCTATAAAATAAACTGCTCCATTTAACCCACTGAATATAAAATTACTCATTCATTTAATACTGTAAAGTTATTCTTCACTTCATTTATGTTTAGATTTTTGGCATGTTTATCATTTTAAATGTTAAACTCTTATGATGGCACTATCTTAGCATTTAGAAAAAAATTGGGCGTGTATTAATTGATAACTCTCTATTGTCACTTACTTTGTCCCACAATGATGATTTACGTTTGTTTTTCCTTATTATTTATTTTAATTGAAAATGTCTGCTGATACTGAGTCATATCTGATGCTCTGTGTATCTGAAACACAAAGATAACACAGCTGTAGACTAGTTTATCACACACAGCTTGTTTCATAGGAGCTTTTTGATCCAAATACTGGATGTCAGTTTATAAATTACTCATATGACATGAATTTAATTTTAGTTGGGAGAATCCCACCCCTCACAGTGATGTGATCCACTTGAGAGACGATGTCTCACATCTCACATGTTGGTTTTTGAGGAAGCTCTTCCTTGGACACTTGGGGTTGTCAAGTGTTGTTACAGATGAAGTTCTCCTCTCAAAAACAATCATTGACAAGCTCCGACAGTAGTGTGTGGAGACACACAAACTGAAAGTGGGTTTGATGAGCGTGCGCTGCTGTGATGAACCACCTGCAAAATATTATTTTACTTAACAGCGACTGAGAAGTGAGTAAAAATGAGAATCTGCAGCTGAATGTTCTCTACACTGATTTGTTAATGATTACTATCGGAGCTTAGTGAACCTGTGCATCTTACCAGCTTCAGTGTCTGAACTCACTGCTGGGTCCAAATGTAATATTTCACTTCCACAAGTTAATTTTCACTGGATTATGCTGCAGGATGCTTCACTGTAGGATGTAAACAGTATGAGCAGACTTGGGAGCCCTGATTTGTGAACATTAGTACCAAAGTATATATTTCTTCATAGGAAATGTATTTACTATTACTTTATTAGAATCACTGGAAATCCTCTTAACTGACTTTTCCTGAACTGATGACTTTATCTGTCACCAGCCAAGCTGGAAAAAGTTATGTGGCCCTTAAAACAGTGATGGAAATACTGTTAAGGGCCCAGACTACAGTGCAGACTTTGTTTATTTAATACTTTGTGAGTGTTTTCTGGTTTTTCCAATGCCACCACCTGATGCACATTTACCTGGAGGGGCAGGTGGACACTGGAGGTGAGATGGGATAAGACAGAGATGGCAGGGAGGGACACTAACACGGCCCCAATCACATGATGGGGAATCCATCCAGAGACCACCAGGAGCAGGGAGCGTGTACAGTTCATCACCTCCTCCAGATAAAAGGCCATACTGCATGAGAGAGGAGAGGAGAGGAAAAGTTAAATCCACAAAACTTGTGCAATAACTGTACAAATCAAAATTACACAGAAAGCAGAGTAAAGGAAAACATATTTTCTCTTTCCCCTGAAACTCTCACCCCCTCCCAGCCCTCATTCTATTCAATAATGGAAAAACTGCAGCAGATTCTCATCAGTCCTTAATCAAGACACATTATTAAACACAACTATGCTGCCCAATTCCCAGCTAGAAGATGAAGATTTATTGCCCAGTTAGGCATGGCAATAAATGGGAATTAACTCATTTTTAAATACTCTCCACTGAGGCACATACACAGCTATGAAAGCACACCACAAAATAAACACATCTATTGCAATTGAATACTGGAAAATGTAATACCTGGTACCTGTGTGATGTTATACCAATGTCTGAGCCCATATTGGTCTTTCACAAAAGCCTGTGCTTGAGCCAGTTGTATCTGAACAGGGAAGTTAAGTCATTGTGGTGTTGCCGCCAAACAACATAGAATAATTTGCTTTGGTGTCAGTGGTGAGTCATAGAGCTGCATGACGGTCTATCAGTGGTTTCACATGCCGCACCACTGAGGCCCTGGAGATACAGGCCTTTATTCCAACCAATCACTGCAGCAGCCAACATGAACCAAACACTTTTCTATTCTTCGAGCCTGATGGCACAACACTGACAGCAGCAGCCTAAGTGACGGAGGCTTTTCTATTCTGCCTGGAAAAAAAATGTGGAAAACACTGATTCCAGCCTTTTTGTTTCAAGTTTGAGACGATTAATATGTTATATGAACGTGTCTGTCTGATTCTGACACATAAGAAGCGACTCCCACACACAGACACAAGCAAACCAACAAACACGACGTCGATCCCTGTGTCGTCTCACCGTATGGACAGCACCAGAGAGATCAGCTCCAGCAGACCGGCCAGGGGAGCCAGGGCCAGGGCTGCGTGGGCTGGAGGGCCCACACTGGCTGGGCTCACGAGAGGTGGCAGGAAGCAGGCCAGGGTCAGAGCCAAGAAGACAAAACAGCTGAGGAGAACGTCCAGGAAGGAGCTGAAGGAGGAGCTCGCAAACGTCTGCACCTGAACCTGGTTTTCAACCTGGAGGGGAGGATGAATGTGAAACTAGACACTGAGGCTCAAATTTCCCAGAAATTTTAGATTGCCAGTATTAACATCTAGAGATGATTGCAGAGCTCAGAGAGACGCAATGAACTATTCGATTTAAAAGCATGAAGGAATTCTCACCAAAAAGTCAAACATCATTGTTTTAGTATCTGACAATGCGATATTAGAGAATTCGATTTGATTCCTAATTTTTATATGGCCATAAATTTAGTATAAGTTATTTATTATTAATATAAGTTTACCAACCAGTTTTATTCATAGATAAAGTAAGTTGAGAGCAAAGAGAGAAAATAAAACATTTGAGTGATACAAGACTTTTAATCTGAGGCTTTTAATCTATTTCTCAGAACACTGTACTTGCATTGGATTTTATTTTTATTTTATTATTTTATTCCAATTTATCTTATTTCTATTTCTATATTCTATATATATTTATCCATATACATATGGATAAAAGCTATATCTATATTCTATTCTATTTATTATGTTGTGAATTGTTTATCTCTGTACTTCATGTATTTTCCTAATGTCGTTTTATATCGTATGCTGTGTAATTGAATTTAATTGTTTTTGAAAGCTGTTATACAAATTATAATTATAGGTGTTATAACAAACTGAACAACAAACTTATTGGTGCATGTTTTCTTTTTTTGGTCCTGCAGTAATACTGGTGTAACAGCAGAGGGCTGCAAGGCTGTGAGGTCAAAGCGGGGCAACTGGAACTGGTCCCAGGTGTGTGAGAGTGGCACTAATGTGGCAGAAAATTTGGGAAACGGGGGGGATACAAGAAACAAGTTACAACAATCCCTAACCCATTCACTCACACATTTGCACAGACACACACAGACCCCTAGATGTGTTTAGAAACTATGGTTTATCTGATATCCATGTCTGTTCGTGGATTGTTGGTGCTTTATTTCCCCACACACAGACTTAACAAATATATTTGCAGATAAAGGGAAATTAGAAAAAGTCAGAATATTCCCTTTGTCTTTTCACCAAAAGCTCTGGAATCTCATTGTCTATTGTATTCAACATGTATGACACCTCTTTTTCTTAATGAGATATTTGTATTTATTATATCATATTTTTTTTTATCATTGCATCCATCACATGTTAGAAATGTCATCAACACACCCATTCACTTGCTATGCATCTTCTGGACAGTTTCAAGACATTTTACTTGGGGGCTAATTGGAAAATTTGGAAACTGACATGTATGTTCTCACATACAGCCCCTCCGGAAAGTTAAACAGAAAATGTCCAGGTTTCAGTGCATGTCTGAAAGCAGCTTCAGTGTGATAGGTGCACTAACATAGACTGAGGGGGGTGTGTGTGTGTACCTCCTCCTTGTAGCTGATGCGATAGGCCTTTTCCAGAGTTCTTTCTAGGAAGTTGAGGCTGATCTTGTTGATGGGTGGCTTGAAAAAGTAATCTTTCATCAGGCTGTGAACCAGAGAGATATGAGTTTAATTTTGAAATCAAATTGTACTGAAACAATACAAAACTAAAATTACAAATTGCATTTTAGTGCATAACTTAGTAATGAATGTCAGATTCTTTGAGTGCATGGTTAGTTTTTATGGACTGCATCCACCTTGATTCTGTTTTTAAGAGCATAGTGAGTTTGAATGCTTGTCCCTATCTTCATGTGTTATCTGTCAAACTCGATGGGTGGGTTAGCAAATGGAAGGAGGTTATGTTTTCACCCCTCCAGCACAAGAAAAAAAAGAAACAGATGGAAAGATGTGGTATTGGTCAGGGAAGAACCTGTTAAAATTTAAGGGAAGTGTTCGGCCTTTGCAGAGGTGTGATCTACTGAGTACCATTCTAATACAGTAGAAACTGCTTATAGTGATCAAGTATATAGGATCAACTGTTTATGTGGATCAAAAAGCTTGGGACGGAATTGTTCCTTTACAAATTAAGTTTAAATGTTTCTATTATGTGATCAGGCCATTTACAGTGTTAATGTTGGGTCTTTTCATACATGTATGGAACGTTAAAAAGTTATGTATATATATATTTTACAGTTTCAACCTTTAGCCTCTATGCTTACCTGTCCTCTCTGATAACGTCCACAAAGTGGACGTCGCTCTTCTCTCTGAAGCTCTTGGCACGCAGCTGAATCAGGGCAGAGTGGTCCATACCTGGACCCGCTGTCCCCGTGCCTCCAGTCATGCCTAGACTGGTTCCAGTTCCCGTGCTGGTCTTCTTCTCTTTCTCCTGAAGCATGTCACACAAGGAGCTCTGGCTGGCCCGCACTGGGTCTTCCAGTGGGGGACTCAGGAGACCGTTGGCCGCCCGGGGGCTGTGACCTGGGATGAACTGGAGGAGGTGAAGAAAGCAAAGAGGAAGAGAGAGGGACAAGAGTCAGAAGATGGAGGGGGAGATGGAGACGAAGGACACAAGAGGAGTGTTTGACAGGTGCACTTGTGCACTTACTGTCCAAGCATGCATGTTTACCTTGGCACTACTTGTCTTGTGCTCTTCCTGGCAGCCATTCAACACAGCCACATCCTCGCTCTGCTCTGTTCCCACAGACAAGGCCACGCTACGGGACACACAGGGAGGCTGGAGAGGGAAAAAGGACAACGAGGGAGAGGTTGACTAATAAAACCAAGGCACTGTATTGGACTGGCTGCAGAATTGGGTCAGGACTTTCTCCAGAGTTTGCGTTTCACATATGAACAACGTTGTGTAGATCACATGTTTTTGTTGCAGCCCATCAACACCAGCGTCTGCCCTTATCACAGCAGTTCTCTTAACATCTTTTACGTGTATGGAACCACTCTTAACTCAGAGATTGTTGTTTTTCCTTTTTGCATCAAATGTCATCAACAGCACTCTTTTCGCAATGACTCCTGCGGAGTATCTCATGCTGAGTTCTCACATCGGCGGCTTTGGACATTCTGCAGAGTTTTCACTAAGGGACTGGCCCAAGAAATTTTGTGGAAAGTCCAGAGCCTCTCACTCTGACATTTAGGTTCTCATATACAGCCGGAAAATGTCAGCAGGTTCTCCAAAGTTCAGTGCATGTCTGAAAGCAGACTGACAGTTAAGTCAGTCTCAGTCAAAGGGCATCGTCTCTGACATCATTACCATTAGGAAGTAATGGAAAAGGACTGTCTTCTTGTTGGAGAGTGTGGAGAGTAAAATTAGTAGGTTTCCAAAAGCACAGCTATCATGAAGTGCAAGCACTGTGAAGGTTAGTTTAGTAAAGAAACTGGTGCAACAATCATCAGGAGTTGTCTTCCTTTTTATTTTGAACCTGACTTACCCCGATCCTGTCTGGTGGCTGGTGGGGCAGTAGGAGCTCTGCAGCCTGCGCTCCCCCAGGGATGAGGTCTGGTGTGTGGGACTGAGGACAGGAGGACAGTCCGACTGCAGCAAAATCCCGAGCAGGCAGTCCCACCTGAGAAAAGCCACACTGCACATCGAGCTCCAACTTCCTCCCTGAGATCAGGTAGGTCTGCAGCCCTGAAAAACAGAAAACCCATTCTGGTTAGAATTTCATAATCCCAACTTTCATTATTTTCTTGGTTCGACTTAAAGGTGACAGAAGAAAAACACAGAAAAGAGGCACCAGTGGCACAGGAGCAGTTCCACCAACTCCAGCATCGGTTGTCATTCACAGAAGTCAAAGTGATGGTAATAATACTGAACTTCATCATTGCATTAGAATTCAAACCTGCCAGGAAGCTTGAGGGAATTATTTTTTTGAGAAAAACATTCACTGTGCAACAAATCCTCTCATGTGAGGACTGCTGCCTGTTCCATCTGCGAAACAATAAGTCAGTCTACCACACAAGAAAGATTATAATTTTGCTAAAACATCTTTTAGTAAATTTAAAAAGACAAATAGCTTGTGGTTCTTTGTTTTATACTTCATATCATTACTGAATAATCTTTTTATTTAGTTGCTGATTAGACTAAACTTGAGGTGAAATATTAAAAAAATATTTATTTGACTTTTGTGGAAAACAAAGGAAACATAGCTTTCTATTAAGCTTGAATATGAACTGAATTTGAATTCTTATTTGTTTTATAATTTATTATAATAACATATATATATATATATATTATTTGATTGTTTTGTCCTTTTGTTAAGCTCTTTGTAACTTTGTCGAGAAAAGAGCTGTACAAAATTAGGATCATTATCATTATTATTATAGTTACAGACATACCTGCAGTTGTAAGCCACTCATGTTTCATGCACAAGCAGGAGGTAATGCAACACTGCTTGTTTCACCAACAATGTTTGCAAATCATCCCAGAGCTCTGGCCGTGTTCACACTGCCGCAGGGCCAACGAGACAAAACACAAACAGTGGATAAAAGTGTTGGCCCACAGCCAGCCGCTATCAGCCTGACCAAACACACAGTAACCTGCCGATCTGGCCTCTTTGTTCAAACAGCTAAAGATGTTCACCTTTGTTAGCATGGTGATGACCAGAGAAGCAACTAGTGGACCATAAAGGGGACATACAGGAGTCTTTATGGGCTCCCTGCCTCAAACTGATCACTCCTCATACATTTCATTATTATGCACATGATTAACTCAGAAAACAAAGCCCTCATTTGGCTTCTTCTGGGCATGAGTGGTCCCTGCAGCACAGACTGATAGTGATTTTCAACACCGTACATGTGTACAAGAACCCTGCAGACGCTCATTCCGGAGAAATAATGTATCAATGCATTTGAATTCATTATGGTTGGATTATCACAGCAGATAATTTACAAATATTAAATAAAAATCAATCAAATAAACTAGAATGACACTCATTAGAGCACAAATCTCATCCAAGGCCCAACACTCCCTTAATGAAACCGCATTTAGATTCACTAGAACTGGATTCTTATTTGGATCTGCACCAAATTATCTGTCCTCTAAATGTACCTGATTTTGTTAATTTCAAGATCCATGAATTATTCTCTGAGAAATTGCTGAAAATGTAAAATGTAAAACTGTAAATTTCTCACAATGTTAAATAAAGAGAATATAACCTCCTTGGCTGAGGTAAAACTATCATCTCTATCAGCTTTGTTGTAGCTCAAATATTTTTGTGGAAAAAGCAGCTTTTATCTAGTTCTCTTTTTTTGAAATGACTTTGTAAATGATCTAAAGTGAATGAGCCCAAGGGGCTGGCTAAAACCTTTTTGTAAATACATGAATGACACGGAAAAACAAGCAGGATTATATGGGATTATCTTCTGAGAAACTTTGTGCTGTCCCTGTCTGACACAGCATTGTATTAACTTTGAAACTCTGCTCCCTGTGATGCATGAGCTCAGGTCGACCATCAGTGTTTTATTATACAGAAAAAGGAAGAAACGTGATGATGTGTCCGTCTGTGTAAGAGTGACTGATGAGCCCCCAACCCATATGTGAAGGGCATGTGCGTCAGTCTGATGCTGAGTAGGTGTGTTCACACACACGCACACACACACACGTCTGTCTCTCATTTCACTGGATGCATCTACAGCTGTAATCATTCGTCCCTCTCTTCCAATCCTCCCTTTCTGTACAGGTTAATCCGTTTCATCTGTTCTCTCCACTTTTCACATGTTTTAGTGAGGCAGTGTGACATTAATATCTAATAACAAATAGGACATTTGTAGAACAGCGACCTGAGTTTGAATATCAGTAAAGGCTGTGCTGCTTTTTCCACCTGAAACCAACAGTGACAGTATAAAACACTTGTGATTATACAGACTTGTCTTAACAATCATAAATTTATCTCATTACTGGCAGAACCTTAGTTTCTATGATTGACTGTTTCACTGATTCAAGGTTAATCTGTCGTCAGCACCATATACAACAATACACCAGAGGTTAAGTCAGCCACTGCAGAACCAATGGGCATGAAAAAGTTTCACCAGACTTTTGTCCAGCTTCCTTGTTTGCATAAATAAAATCAGTTATGAATGCAATGAACTCATCTCGAGAAACTGGAAGCACTGTGTGTTTTGTTCCGGGCCCAAGGACAATGTGGACTTGGCAGACGTCCGAAGCCTTTAGGCCAACAACAATCCTATCTTAGGGTTTGAGTTCTCTGCCAAACAGCAACAAAGACCATTTATGAGATTTCGAGCCTCACACACACACACACACACACACACA